CTTCTTGGGTGTTACAAGACGGTGCCACAGCCCCTGGGACGCAGCAGCACGTGGGTCCCCTGCGGGGAGAAGAGCAGTGACCGTGCCCTCCCGCAGGCACAGCTATCCTCCTGGCTCCTTGCTGCAATGCCAAACCCCCCAGTGCTGCTCCCGGCCTCGTGACCGTCAACATCAGCAGTGAGTGCAATTTGCAGGGCTTAAATACAAACACATGGAAACTCCCAGGGTGCAGGACCATGGAGCGGTGGATCACGGTGCCAGAGAGAACATATTTACTCTATTTCAGTGTTTTAGCTGACCTTCAAGAGCAGGTACTACTGCCACTTGTCTGATGCTAGGGAATAACCTTCAGTTCTTTTTTTTTTTTTTTTTTTTTTTGTTTTGAGTCACTAAATATAACAAATGTATTTACAGCAGAGAACTCCAGTTTTATAGTCTTTGACTTGATTTTTTCCTACCCCCCCCAGTCCCTCTTGCTGTTTATAGCTATTCCTCATGTCTGAGTTTTCCTTCATCTCTGTTTCCCTCCAGCTACCTTTCCACTATTGGAGAGCTCTCAGAAATGTTACGCTGCTATAATTCACCTTTTTTCTTAGAAATAGGAGCACAAAGACATTTGCTTGGAAAGAAAATGACATCTGTGAAGAATGACATGGACTTTGAACACCAAATAAAATAGAAGAGGGGCAAGTTAGAGGGCAAAAGGCCAGAATTTCTGTGGTGCATCTAATCAGTTTAAGAGCATTTAGCAGGTAAATGAGGTTATTTTGGCAAAATTAGTTCCTGGTGTGGGATGCATGACTGATAAGTAGGGGCTGCTGAGGAGCAAATACTTGAAAACATGGGGTCCTCCTGGGAGAAAAATTGTCCCACCTTCACGGCTGAAGGTGGTAGTACCCTTCCAACAGTCCTTGAGGGGGCATAAACCGTGGGTCTATGCTGTGTTTTATAGGCGGAGACAGAAATTGATTTCATGGGAAAACTTAGAGACAGGACACAAAAATGAATGTAGCTTGGTGATGACCACTGTGGTCAGCTGGGTTTCAGAAGGATGTTCTGTGGCATTTTGATGTCCATTCTGCCATGCAAAACTCACAGCTCTCACCGGATTTACCTCTCATGTCAGTAACTCGAGACCTGGGGGTTTCAGAGGGGAGTTCCCCAGCCAGGGCTCTTTGCATGGAAACTGGTTAGAGGACGTGTCCCTGTGCTCGTGCCCCGCAGCTGCTGTGCTTTGCTGGTTTTCATGTGTCTGCACAGACCCTCTCTGCAGCACAGGCATGCCGGGACTGATGCTTCAGAGAACACTGGTCGGTGCACGGATTTAGGATGCTCAAGTGCCCAGAAATCCAGGGCAAATGTAAAAGATCCTTTCAGTCCTCCAGAACAACATTTCCAGGTGGGAGAGGACATCTCTGAGAAATTCAAATATGCAGTGGGCCTTTCCAAATGGGTTTCACTACATAAAACTAATAATTCAGTGCTTTTCATAGAAAAACCAGGGCAGACAAGGCATATGCTCTAACTCTTCCAAGATTTTTTCCCCTTATCTCATTTTTCTTCAGGGATTACAGGACATGGAGGCTTGGATTGATTTGTTTGTCTCTTCTGGAGCAAAGGCTTGGGGACGTCACTTTTACAAGGAACTTCTGCCATGTGGAGAGAGATCAGAATCCTTTTTGCTTTGGGTTTTTCTTTTGATTTTGTTTGTGTGTGTTGTTTTTCCAGTTCCCAGGGCCATGGAGACCTGGCTACACCACACTGTGGTGGTTCCAGGTAGATGCTGTGTAGAGCAGAGCTACAACAGAATCGGGCTCCCGGGAAGGACAGTCTCCATCTCCAGCTATTTGGCGGATCCAGCACTGCTGAAAGAAGCAGCAGCATCCTTAGTGTTCATGGCAGCAGCTGCCTCAGATTTGCAGCCTACAATTACAAACCGTGTAATTATCCTACAGCACTGCCTGGGATTCTGTGTGCTTAAAACTGTATTATGCAGCAGCAGTTTGTCTGGCACGATCAGCATTGATGAGCCCTGTTGCTGGAAGTGTCAGGGCCAAAGGTGGAGCAAGCTCGTGAGCGGCTCCTCTGCTCTCTGGCCACCTGGGAACTGCTTGCTGGACTTTGATCTTGGCTCTTATTTCTTTTAATCAGCGTTGTCATCCCTGCTTCCTCGTCATGATGGAAGAACAGAATCAAACTGGGAAGGGGAGTCTAAGGAGACCTTGCAGACCTAAGCTCTGGTCCCATGAAGAGGGTTTGCTTGCTTTGGTGGCAGAAGGGTTGAGTTCTTCAGAGAAGAGACCCCTGGGCTGGCAGCCTGAAACTAGGGCTCTGGATCAACTCTTGTATGATGATAATAGCAAACATCCAGCATTTTAAAACACAAGATTAGCACCGCTGATAGCCACGGTCTTAGCGCTCCCACTGACAGCTTAACATCTTCACCTCCACTGCTGGCTTATAAACAAAACAAGTTCTCAGGCACAAATCATCCCAGGCACCCCAGGATGGAAAATTCAACACAGCCAGACATGTGCTGCTGCAAGTCCAGTCCCACCACAGTGGCTTGGTGCCCCCTGAAGAGTTGGTCCTGCTGTGAGATGGGACTCCTGAGTCACTGAGGAGCTGTTAGCAGCAAGCAAAGGGCTCCTGGCTGCTGACCATCCTCGCTGCTGCAGTGTGGAGACGCAGTTTCTCTTAAGGTGCTTTTGCTGAATGAAAAATTTGCATCAGCCTTGGCTGGCCTCTCCTTTTCTTTAAATGATGCAATAAATTAAAAAGTGATAAGGGGCCAAAGGGAACATTTGAAATTCCAGTGGCATTTCTAGGAACTGTCCGGCACACTCCAGGTTCCTCTCAGCGACTTGCTGACCGGCCCGCCGGAGGGAAACGACTGGCTATGGTGAGGCACGTACAGGGGATGGCTGTTTGTCCCTGGGAAGAAAATCAAAAAAGCCCTCAGTGCATCTCAGATTACATTGTCAGCTCCCCAAACCTGAAGGTAGACGGTCCTGTGGTTAAGGCTTTCTGCTGAGGATTCAGTACACTCTTTTTCTAGCCCCTGCGCTAACAAATGGAGCAGCAGCGAGGATGTACCCTTGTAAATATTAGTATGTCCCCTAATGTGGCCTGCAGTACTGCGTGAATCTGTTTGACTGAGAAGATTCCCACAGACCCTGCTCGCTGCAGCTCTCCGTAAGCAGCACACACCTGGGGTGAGCCCGTTCCCTGCATGTTCGCTCGTGGCGGTGCTGTCTGCAGGGTGACAGAGGGTAAGCTGGCTTTCTGCAGGACATCAAGCACAGCTTCTCCCTTAGCACCGAATGGGCACATCAGCATCTCTCCCTAGCATGGGGCACAGATGAACCAGCTCCCGTGCCTGTAGCATACGGGTCTGATGGAGGTGTTTCCTGCGGGTGCTCCGGGAGGGAATGCAATTCAGAGTCTTGAATGTGATGCTGGAGATCGCATTCACAGTAAGAGATAGCGCGATGCAGATGTGCCTGAAACCACTTCCTGAATTTTACTCAGTGTGCGCAGGGACATGGCTCTCCTGAGGTCTCCAGAAAACTTAGGGCAAAACACAGATTAAGCACCTGGTGTGCCCAGCTCGCCGCTGATCCACTTTCCCCCCCGGTGTGCAAGGTGACATCGCTCTCCTTCGCTGCAGCTGCTCCTGTTGACTCCGTTTGCTGAAGCCCAGCCACACTGAAGCGTGTCTGGTTGGGTACCCCAGGTTGGAGGGACTCTAAATAACACCAGACACCGCAGGCCCTGGAGCTTGTCTCTGGCTCAGCTCAGGATGGACACGGGGGGCACAGCCAGCCTTTCCTGCCTGGACGTGGTCTCTTGTGGGACTCGTGCTCTCTTGATGGGTGTATGACTCCAACCCCAGCTCTCGGTAGTGATGTCCTCGAGAGGAAGTGCAGGGGGTCGTGTGGCCTGGTTTGTTCTTGCTGTACAATGGGCTGCTTGTTTTTAAATTCAGTGACCTCACACCAATTTGGAGACTTCTCTTACCAATTGCCTTCTCCCTGTGCCAGAACTTGCCTTTCTCCCAACAATTGACATTTTCCTTCTGGAGAAAAGTACTAGAGTGGTAAAAAGAGCATGATTCATATTTGGGAATTTAGGGGGGGGAAAATTAGCAGCCACTAATGAGCGACTGCAGCATGGGAATGTACCAGGAATTAACAGCCAGGGAAACAACTTACTGGCACTGGCTGTCTTCAATGACAGGAAATAAAATAGGTAGCGAGTAGCATGTTAATCGTTAGCTAATCATGTAATTTGTGTTGCAGTCGGCTGGGTTTTGTCTCTCTTGCACACCCAGTTTTCAGATGGTGAGTGATTTAAAGTGGCATGTGTTGCAGCCAGCAACAGCCCCTGCTTCCCAGCAGGTTACTTCATGGAGTCAGTAGGGCAAGGAGGTTTCAGGATCTGCAGCCTTCTTCCAGCTGTGTTTCACATAGATTCACTAGTCTGTGGAGTCACTGAATTTCAGCTCATGTCAATTCAAACATCTGTGTCAGGAACCCTCCATAGCCCAAAACTTACCGGGAGACCAGCAAAGAAAAATTTTGATGCCACAGAGCATGCTGCAACAAGAAGCTACAATATCACCTATTTATTTAAGAGTACACAACACATTTAAAATCCCTATAGGTGATCTTAAAAATTACCAGTTGCCCCTCAGAAGTCATGGGTTTAAAGACATGCCCTTCAGGTGTTCCAGGACCAAAAGTGAACACTGGGTAATACCGTGCATGTAGGCATTTCCATTTGCTGTTGCTTCTAGAAGCAGCCCAGAGATTTTGCAGAATTGGCTCATTTGAAGAAAGGTAAAATTTTCCCATTGGGAAAAATGTTTCAGAATGAGGTCGATGTTTTTTCAGTGTAGGTTTTTTTTCAGCTGCAGGTTAGTGGGAAGTTACAGGTGTTATTTGGAGCACAAGGAGGGGCTGCGTCAGGAGAGAGTGAGGTATTCACAGAATACAACATGTTGTAAAGCATTAACACATTTATTAATCGTATGTGGACAGACAACTTCACACACCCTACCAGAATTTACTATACTGATGTAATTTCCATACTACATCTATGTGTTATGAATCAGCCAATATGTGACATTAATTATCTGCATTTATCATTGCGCAAACTGACATAATGATCAATTACGGGCTAACACATCAGTAACTGTTTACTGAAGTACAGAAGTAATCCCCCAGTTTTCTGAAATATTCTGGAATCACCCTATGCATGCTATAACTACCCAAATCCTATTTTGGTCCCAAAGTAACATTCTTCCACAGCCGAGAGGTGCAGCATGCATTGCTCAACACCTGCTTCAGCAGCAATGACATGTGCCGGTTCCACGGCAGTGGCTCTCCTCCCACCACCATGTAGGGTTCATAACCTCTTCACTAGTTCACCTCTCTTTGGAAATGTTTCTTTATGATGTTCCAGGAAATTGCTTTATGGCTGTCTCACCTCCTTTGTCTGGAAACATGAGGTATTTGTCCTGCAGTTCAGTGACATGTGACTACTTCCAGGAAATGTTCGAGAAAATGTTGAAAGAATGCAGGATGTTTGGTCTAATAAAAAGAAAGGAAGACAGAAAAAACAACTTCCAGATAAAAGACTTCTCTGGAGACAGCAGAAATTAAGCACTCCCCATGCCAGCAGAAAACATGGCAAGAAAAAAAATCAGGTTAATTTTCTGAAAAAATCATCTAGGATAAATACCGGGAAAAAACTTCCTAATTATAGAGAGATGAGTCTCAGAACAACACAGGAAGGTTTGGACTTTCCTTTTCTAAAGTTCAGAAGAAGAGGTTAGGCAAACCTTGGGCAGGAAAGGTTGAGGGCAGCAGCCATCTTAAACTAGATGATCTGTGATCTTAGGATTCAGGCCTGGAGGACTGTCCTAGCAGGCTGACAGTGACAGGGCTGGAAGCAGCCCTGTATGGTGATAGCTGGCCATCCCATCCCGCAGAGACTCCTCTGGCAGAGATGGATTTGTTCTGCTCAAAGAGGGAACAAAGGAGTCTAATAGCAGCTTTGGAGAAGAGCTCCCAAGGAATGCCTTTCCTTCCATTTTCGGCCTCTGCAGTTCCAGAAGTGGGGTTTCCCTCTGTCTTTATTCAGAATTCAGCACAAACAGGCCTTTAAACACCACTGAAACAGAAATATCAAAAAGTGATCCTTTCCCACCTTGAAAAAAAAACCATGTCCCAAACACTCTTCTCTCAAAAGCAGAAGAGACAGTCTGTGTAAACGTTCAGTCTGGAAATTAATCTTCTGAATAGGAGCTAAATCTGAATAGATTGTATAAATATTCGTGTGTCTTTGTTTTGAATTACTGATGTTTTAATCTCTGGCTAAATAAAATTTTATAACAATTTTTTTTTAAAAGTCCAGACTGGATTTTAAAGAAAGCATACAAAGCACATTTGCCAAATTTACTACTGGAGTAAGTGGCACCAACACTGATTTTAATGAGTGTAGTTTCTTACTGTAGTAGCTGACTTGGCCTAATTCAACTGAAAGCTGGACAAATACCTCCTTTGGGCAAACCCACTTTAATCAAAACTTATATAAATCTCTTAATATCAATCATCCTATGCCTGCTAAGCCCAGTAGTTATTTTGGTTGTATCTGGCAAGATAAAATCATCTGTACCCCAAAACAGTGATTCAGTTCGTTGCCACATCACTGTACATTGATACAATCTATCCTACAGTGATACATATGTATGTAAATACACCCTCACACAAACACGTATATACAAATATGTACACATCCATATAGAGAATAGGTGTGTGTTCTGCACACATGCCATATCACATCATGTTTCTGTAAGCAACAGAGGTCACTGTAGTACAGGACAAAGCTCCCTTTTGGCATCCACTAAAGGCACCCCTGCAGGCAGTGCCATATCAAGCACCAACATCTTTTGGTGTGATACTAGCTGAAAATCAGTCATATTTCTACGACAGAAATGGAAGCAAGATACATTCACAAAAAAATATTTACAGGAAGTGTCCTTGTTTGGGAAACAAATGAGCAGTTGCTCTGGAAATGCTGTGGTACCAGTGACATCTCTATGGCAGGACTTGGTAGCTTTAAAACTCTTTCAGTGAACTCTGCATTGGGCAGAGTGCACATGCCTTCGTACACACCACTGTCTCTCAGGTTTTCCCAGTTTTCTTTACCAGTAACACCTTCACAGAGCTGGCCAGCCCTCCTCTCTCCCAAAACCATTCATTCACTTAGGGCTTATTTTGCCTGCCAGTGAAACCAAAGGTGCTCCACACATTCCTTTTCTCCAACCAGCTCTTTTTCCTGTCGCCCCTTGAATATATTTTTGTGGCTGTAACATAAGGACGTAACACAAAAGAAGACCCCACTGAATCACTACGTGACACTTTACCAGCCTTCCTTCCAACACTACAGATGTCAGCTTCCTTTTGCCTTTCTGTAGCTAAGGGGAAACAAGGGAAAATATGGCTTTGTTCCAAATGTAAGTTGTTTCCACACCCCTGACTGATTAGGAGTTCAGTATAAATCAACGTAACTCAGGGTAAAGAGGTGAGCAGAAGTGTGAAGCAGTACTGTCTACTGAAATACAAAGTATATACAGTGCAAAGGCTTCATAAATTTGACCCTCGTCTTTTTTTTCATGTAACTGAAATACATGTCAACATGAAATACAGGACAAACACATGCCACTCCTGTCAACAAAACAAATTATTAGGACATAAAATGAAATCCATGTTCTCTATTCTTTGTAATTCCACAACAAAAGATGTCTGGCAGCTCTAGAAGATAAAGATTACCTCCATACGCTATATATTATATTCTTCTCCCTGACCTTTTCCCTTGAACTTTGGCACTTACTTAATCATTGAGGTCTTTTTTCAGGAACATGAGCAGCCTTTAACATGGAAGATATCTGAATGTGGAATCCTACATACAGTAAGTTTCACCTTAAAAAAAAACAACACAAAAACATTTTTATAGCTTGTTATAACTGATCAACAGCTGTGCTACTATCTGACTTGTATTTTAACTAGTTAAATAAAAGTGACCAATTAAGAGAGATAAGCATTTTTTCCTTGCTGAGACTGGCTTTCTTTAGACAGCAACAGCATCTGCTGACCTCAACTTTCTCAGCAAAATTCAAATATGAATGTGTTCAGGTATGGGTCAGAGAACCTGGATACTGAAATAAAAGTCCAACCAAGAGAAACATAGGTATCAAGGCATCACTTAGAAATCTCCCATATTCTTCAAAAAAAGTTGTATCATACAAGGAGATGTATAGTGCTTGATAACCAGCAGAAGGTAGGAGTCCAGGGCTCTGCCCTCAATACCCAAAGTCACTATAAGGAACTACACGTCCACTGGAGGCAATCATTTATTTCCCAAAGTCTGCAATTCACAGGCCTAAGCTAAAAAATACCAAGTAACTCTAATTTATGGTTGCCCAGCAGTATCTGTTGGGGTTGCTCTGACTCTTTGACACCAAGTCCTCAAACACAGCAGTGCTGACCTTGCATTCCCCAAATAGCCCAGGAATAAAAGATGCTACATCAGAATGGTGCTGAGGAGCTGTTTGGTACTGAAGTTATTTGTGCCAAACTTAAAACAGAGTAAACTGGTTTGAATGGAATCACTTGAAATGCAGAAAGCAACTTGCTTTCTCACTTGGCTTGATTCGTTTGATTATCACCTTCAGGCTGGTCAAGCTTACCTCCTTTCTTATGGACCTGCTGATGAAGAAGTAAGCCTCCTCCACGTCCTGGGGTTGCAGGTCATTCACCGCCACTATGTGGTCTCCGTGATTAAACAAACATCCCAGTTGGCAAGGACCAGTCCACTGTGAGACACTAGGGTATTTGAAGGAAACTGTCGTCGTTTGAGCCTGGTCAGCAGCTAAACGCCCCGCAGCCGCTCACCCACCCTCCCCCCAAGCGGCAATGGGGAGGGAATCGGAGGGGCAAAGGGAGACTCGCGGGTTGAGATAAAAACAGTTCAATAACAGTAACAGAACAACACGCTGACAGCAGTATCAGCGGGTAACGTACAGTACAGCTGCTCACCACCCGCCTGCTCCCGGCCGGCCATCCCGAACACAAAGGCCCCGCAGCCACACTCCCGGAAGTGGCAGCCTCTCCCGGCCCACTCCTGCCTTTATATAGTGAGCACAATGTCACATGACATGGGATATTGGCCAATCAGGGCCCAGCCCTCCAGCTGTGCTCCCCCCGCCCCCGCACACAGGTGAGGGCACTGGGACCTGGGCAGCCCCTGGGGTCTCAGGGGGCTGCAGCTCCTCCCGCTCCCAGACCAACGGGAACTCTAGGCCAGCCCCAACCAGGACAGAAACATAGGGGATATGCAGTTACTGGTAACAGAATGGCAATGGCTGAACAGGATTGAATTTATGATAGTGCCATCTGGAAATAACACACAGGTTAAATGGCTTTGCAACTTTCTGGTCTGGTTCTAGCTGAAACTGATCTGCTTTATCCATCTCAACAGGTCCTCCTAAAAATGTATATGATGCTGATGTTTGCAGCACGTTAACAAGTGAGACTGGTGCTAGCAAGGTCGCAAGTGAAAGTTGGTGATTCCAGTCCAAAAACATTTACACTCGCTGTAGATATTTTAGCCTGATGTTTGACCGAGATGATTTCTGAAGTCACCCCAAAAGAATGAAATTAAAACTTATTATCTTCTGTTTTATCTATGATAAAACTGCAAGGATCAGAGATCCACTGCTGTCCTGATGGGATCCTTATGGAAATTCCAGTATCTCTTTCCTGCTGGCCTCTGATAGACTCTCCTTGATGACAAGTCAGAAAGAGCAGAAAGGAATCATTGAAGTACCAGCACACACTGACCCAGCCCTGTTCTGCACTGCCAAAACTGTACATGGATGTCTGTGGTTGTACACTTCTGTTCCTTACTGTCACTCATTCACATCTGACAGGCACCGTCACAAGACATCCAGAACTTACCATATTTGTCCTGCTGCTTCAGTAAGTTTTAGGTAACTGTTAATATCAGCCAGGGAGACAAAAATATCCAGCTTCTGCAGTTGGGTCTCATCTGTGACTCGACTGTGAGGGGAAACATCAGAGACCACAGAATCAAAGAAGCGTAGTTGGAAGCGACCCATAAGGAGCATTCAGTCCCACACCCTGCTCCTCTCAGGACTACCTAAAACTAAATCATGTGACTAAGAGCTTTGTCCAGATGCTCTTTGACTCTGACAGGCTTGGCAAGCTCCACCAGTACCTCAGCTGAAACCTATGAATATGTCTGTCTTCTCTAAAACAAAAATGGAGAAGACACTTACCTGAGCAGTATAGACAACTGAACCACTGAAAGTGGTAATGAATTTTGCCTTCTCTGGAGGGCTGGCTGCTGGCTGGTGGTGATTTCTGGGAATTGTAGGTCTCTATTTGCTTCCAAGTCTCTTGGACATGTACTGTTCTCCTGGCATTTGGGAGGAGACGGGAGCCCATCACGTCTGCACGTGAGCTGGCAACTCTCATCCAGCAACTTACTGAAGAGGAATGGTGATAAAAAATGAACTGGTTTGACCATTCCAGGCACTCTTGCTGCATTTGAAACTGGATCAAATAGCCATCAGTGAAGCAAAGAATAACAAGTTCTTGTAGAATATCCAATGGACAAAATTACATCTAAGTAAAATAAACAGTCCTTTTAAAAATGGACCATAAAACCCAAAATAAACTTTTTCAGCATTGAAAGACTATTTTTTAAGCCTGAAAACATTCCAGCTAACAACATGCCTTGACAAAGAAGCTGAGGACAGATTCTTGGCCTTGGCTGTACTGGTTTCTGCAGGGATGTAACACTGTCCCACGGGAGATACAGTAACTCAGATGTGTTTGAACTCAGTTTAGGTTTATTTGGTGAGCCTTATAATGCCTGAAGCCAACTCCTCTTCATGTCCCAAACAAGACTGGGGTTAGTAGGAAAAGCTGCTCTTTGTATACTTTAACTCAGATAGCATAGGCTTGTGAGGTTTTTATAGTAATTCCCTCCAGGGGCTCCCAAAGACACAGACAAGCTTGAATAAATCTATTGGAATAAACTGGTTTGTGGGTCTGCATTTCCAATTGCCTCCCACTATGTGGCATAAGACCTGACCTTCTGTAGGTGGCAGACCATAGCTGACAGCTATTATTGTGTAGGCACACCTCTCTTGGAGTATATTGTACTATATTGTGGAGGTTGTAAAGTTTCCTTGAGGTACTAAAGTGGTGGGCTGTTATGTCATGGAAACCTAGAAAAAGGATAAGCCAACAAAAAGTGCTGCATCCTCTAGTCAGAGCCTGTCTAAATGCTTGAGTTTGCAAGGTGAGTTTAAAATTCACGTTGATGAATTTGAATTTCACTCTGGTATTCCCACGAGTTCTGGACTTTCTGAACCAAGACCAAATAAGGACTCTTTCAGACAAGATGCAGTCTCTAGATATTGTTATGTAAATACCGCAGATGACAGCTCTATCTGTACCACTATGTCACTTTTAATTTGCTAAACCTTGACGAAGTTGTTACTTACAGTGATTTCATTGACATATAAATGTTCTCCTTTACTGGGTTGCTCTGCACTGGCTTCTCTTGCACAGGGACATCAGACCCAGCTGTGGAGTCAGGCTTTGATACTTCAGTAGCACACTGCTGGAAACCCAGAACAATGTAAGATGTTAATATCATTGTTCTGCCTACAGATATTAATTTCCTTATTTTGTTCAGTGCTCACGCTGTTTAAACACATTGGCTAATATAGCTTGGCTTTTCCCAAATAAGTCAATGAGCTGGAAAGGTGATTGAAGTTTACAAGTTAATGCTATCTGGTATTATTGACACTTTCAGATTGGGACATAACCAACTATATTCTAAAGTATTATCACAACATTTTTGTTACATTTTAATTTAAGCAGAGTCAAAAAAGACTCCTGTACTTTGCGTGTTCTTAAAGCACTTAAATTATATGACAAAATCATATTGTTAGTGTCATTCAGTTAGCTGTACAGTCTTGGGAGAGAGTCTGTGACTTCTGCAAAATACCGACCACTTAGCTTCTGATGATCACTAACTACATGGGAAGCCTAGAGACATTAGCCTCTCAAATTAGGTGACAGAATTTGTTTATAATTACCAGTATGATTCCTTCTGCTTTCTCGTTTCACAGTAAAATGTAGATACCACAGTGTTTCACAGAATTTTTAAAGGATTGATTCATTTTATACAGCTTACCAAAGCTTCAACAGAATTACATTTTAAAATATATAAAAATAATGTACTATTACATTTTCTAAATGAAGTTTACACTTTAAAAAAACCAAACAAACAAACAAACAAATCCTGTTATACAATAGGCAAAAGCTATTTACAATGAAACAGTCAATTTGGGGAATTTCAACAAAATCAGCAATGTTTTTGTCAAAATGCCCCTTTCTACCAGAAAGATCCTTTGAATGAGCCTAGTGTATTTTTTCTTGTACACATAAAAGCTCTACTACCTACTGCTTTATCTACATATTTCTTTTGCAAGGTACTAGTGGTTCCTCATACCAGTTCCTCTTTGGCTCACTAAATGTCTCCCATCTCCCTGGAGCTGTTAACAAACCAGCAGAACTCACAACAGATAAACTACCTTTGCTAAAATATTGGTGGGAGTTTGGTAATAATCTTCTTCATCCTTTTTGATGTCTTCATCTGTGTCTGATGACAGCAGTTTTTCCTCACTCTTTCCCAGATTTTGATCCTGTTAAAAGAATGTTTTTATATTTAACAGGCTCAGTTATACAGATTGTTTAGCATGTATTTTTTCATTTACATGGAGAAGTAATAGCATCAGCAAATATCAACAGAGAACATGGGAAGACATGTTTCTTCTTGAAGCAAGATATGCTCAAAACCAGTTTGTTTTAGAAATGAGGTTTCTGTATTTGTGCTTCTTCTTGTATTTTTGAGATCCACTGCACATGGACAAAACTGGCCACTGGTATTAGTACTTCTCACAAATGGATTTGTGGTAACCAGGCAGTTGCAATCAATTGCATGTTCACAACCTGTTATTTTGTTTAAAAATCAAGTGGATTAAACACTTCGTGTATGAATCTGCATGCGTTTAGGGTCACTTGTGTGGAAAAGATTTTTTTATTTGCATTTAGTTCTGAAGTCCTTATACTAGGAAAAAAATCTGTAGGAAATCTAGAAGTGGATCAGGATATATTTTTCCTTTTTAAGTACCTTTTAACTGCTATCAAGCAAAGAATGAATTTGGGACTTCCCTGACTAATGAGCAGCCTATTACCTCATACTTCTCTATGAACTGGACCATACCCTGGAGGGCTGGAGATCTGACACTGAATCCTTTGTGTCCTGAGTGATGTTCTGCCTTCATAAATACCTGAAATACTAAGTTTGTGTCAATTTAGTAAGTCAAGCAGAAATTAATCACTCCACCAAGTTTACCTTTCTAAGTCACAAAGATAAATTATTCATTTTAATGTCTCCTTTTTGACTTCACTATAGTGAAGAGTATGGTAATGAGTATTTATCTGCCTCCTAATGCAATTCTCCATGCCATGTTTGTGATGCAACCGTTTTTTATCTCTTCACTTACATCCTTGGTTTCCATGGTGATCACTTTAATAATTGCTAAATATGCCACAGAATATATTACTGTTTTCAAGGTAAAGGAAATTACACTAATTACTCTCTTACATGTAAAGAGAAGAAACTGGCATTGAATAGAAATTAAAGCTGATGGAATGTATTTTTGTTCCTTGTTGGTATAAATGACAAAAAGCAACTTATGCAGTAGGAGTCAGAACAAACCTGCAAACAGTCCTTCAAGAAGTGCATAACAAAACTGCAGCAGGAACAAGCCTGGCTCTGCGGTCATGATCTAAAGTAATGAATGAGTTTCATAGTGAATTTTCAGGGGCTTTGCATCAATCAAACCAGGAAACACTTAGGGAGAAGTGGGAAGAGGAGGTGATTTTATGAAGTCTTGAGATCCTCTAACTCCTAGGAAATCTCAGGGAGCAGAGAGCACTTACCAGCTTCCCAAGATGAGCCTTCAACCACTGACAGTGGCTATGTTTTACCAAATGCATAGGGTTTCTCCTTGGCACCATCGCAGATTATAGGGGCAATGGGAAGGAGAAAGTTAACGTGCAACAGCACTGCATTTTCCTAAAGCAGTTTGCCAACATCTTTGTTCCTCCAAGTGCTTTACCACCAGAGAAGTGCAGTTAACCTCAGTGTACAGTCATTCTCAACTGTACAGCTACAGTTCTTTAAACCTCTGTTGAACCATGATGTGGATTTACATTAGAGAGAAAGTAGATTATGGAGAAAATTGGCTGTAGCATAAGATGGAAATGATATCTGGAGAACAACTGAGTAATTGCTAGTTATAGGCTCCTTAGGTGCCTAGGTGCCTGCAGTACAGTAATGTGCAGTACAGAGTGATGCAAGTCAGGGCTCCTTATTTTGATGTATTTCAGGTATTGAAAGCTTCATATCAAAATAGCTGACACTGAATTGATGAGTCAGATGTGGTTTGGTAGCTCCAACATGTGGGTTGAAAGGCAACAAGGTCCCCAGACCTCTCCAGGGTCCCTGACTGTGTGACTAGACACAACTGCCATTGAGAGGCCTGTTTGCATGAGTAACAGCTACTGACCAAGGAGTTTTCAAGATCTGGGCCTGGGTGAGGGAAGCACCAATAAAAAGCAAAACAAATCGGATACTAAAAATGTGGAGTCATACTCCCAAAAGGAAGTACATACAAGGGATTAATTTGGAAGTCAGCTGTCTAGGCATCACTGAGCAGAGAATAGGTCTGGAGATGTTATCAGATGCTAAACTTATCAGGCAAGTGAAATATTTTTATTGAATGAACAAAAGTTTTTGTTTCTTGTTAGCTGTATGGCAAGGTTATTTATTTTCACTCATGCTGAAACAGAAATATGAGCTTCCTGCTATTCCCCCTGCTTTCAAGCTAAAAGGTAAAATCCAAATTCCTTATCTTTTAACCATCATGGTCAGTCTGTCCTAGTCCGAACAGCTGCGTATAATACATGCTTTCTGAGGTATCGTAAGTATGAGAAGAATTAATGAATGAGACAGAAAAGTCATGCATATGAAGGAGACAGAAAGAAAGCCTTGGTATGCGTCCAGAGCAGCCCTAGTTAAAATCAGACTAAGGTTTATCTCAATGCATTTCACAGCTCAGACTCACAGCTGAATTACTGCAGCTTCATAAAGTACCATATATCAGCTGAGCTGTGCTAACTGCCCATGATATTGCAATGTAGTTTCAACTATTTTCACTTCTTTTCACTAAATTTAGCTATATTGTCTCATACTTGTTGCCAGCCTACATACATGGATGATGACTGCAGCATGTGATTTACCACCCTGTTAGCTGTGATAGAAGAGATTCTTCTCCCTCTGTCTCAGCCACTCCAGATCACAGTCCAATGCATAAACTGCCAGTAAAGATGGGTTTAAACTCAGCTAGCAAACTGCATACTGGTATGGTGGAGCCTTGGTTGTGCCTTCTGTTCTGTTGACTTTGCTGCAAAGACAGTAACCCAGGGCAGAGGATGGATAAAAACTATCCTGAACTGCTGCAGGTATTTGTTCAGGGAACACCGGTCAGAACATTTAGCCAATAATATTTGATAACAATTATCATTGTATCTTTTTAGATAATTCCTGCCGGATATGGAAGCTAAATTACTTGAAGTTGTATTTGTGTTGACAGAAGGTCAGTCCAGAGGAGTCTCTCAATTTAACCAGCCCTTGTTCTGTAGTTCAGTTACATTGATTCAATTGCTACCGGCAGAGGCTGCAGAAAGAAACCATTTAGGAAGACTGTGGCCTGGCTGGTAAATGTGATGGAAGGAGCAAATGTGCAAGCAGTGCAACTTCAGATTTTTCTTGATCAAGTTTGTGAGAGCTGCCACAAGTTGCAATTGCTGCACAGAAACTGAGGATCTGCCTCCAAGAAGCAAAGTAAACAAAGGGTATTTCAAGAAAGTTCTTAGAAGGTTATTTTCAGCGCTAAATGAGACAACAGACTAAATATTTAGGAAACTTTCATAATGAAAACCAACTCGGTTTGCTGGGAAAGTAGGTGGATAATCTATAGTTACAGATACTCAGGTGAGATAAGAGCCAATAGTAACTTCTGCAGACTGAACAAGTCAAGAGCTGTTTGATTTGTTCTGCTCACCAGGCTTGGACAAACTCCTCTTGGTGAGTCACACTGAGCCTGATGAGGGCCAGGATCTGAATTAGGCCTGTTCTTGTCTTCTGAGGAACCACTCTCCTGTATACAAAAGAAAAACGGTGACTTGTCCTAAAGATACACTGGAGGCACGTCACCTGCATTCAGGTTCCTCTGAATGGGTCATTTGCACACAGCTTTGTGACTAGAGAAAACCAGCAATTACTTGGCTGCTATTCAGCCTTATACCAGAGGACAGGGACTGCAATTGCTCTGGGACACCAGCAATGCTTTCCTTCCTATTTAAATACTGAGGGGGAAGATCTGGAAGCACATAGGAACTGGATCTGAACTCCCCTCTCAACTTTACAGCCTGAAGAGAGAGACAATGAAAAGCACCATCACAAAACAGGAGGAATGTGGCTAGCAGCTGCCAAAACAATCATCACATAGCTTTGCCAAGGCATGTCATGTCAAAGCAAATCTTCAAGGGCTTACTTCATGCCTCCTAATCTTTGCCAGTCAGTTGAGATAGCCAATGAATATAATTTCTCATTGCTGTCAACACCTGTCTTTACTTACATGCAGATTTTCCTCAAAAGACTTTCCTTTGTGGGGACTCTCTGATCTTATCATCCAGGTCCTACTCAGGAACCCCACCAGAGAGCAGAACAGACCACCCGGGAACCCATGGCACAAGCTCTGAAGAACTTTTGATGGAAAAAAGCAACTAGACAAATCAAATTTCACAGTCATCCCTAGGAGCAAACTGATTATTAAGGATGGCTAATCTATTTACCTCCTGGTAGCTTTGCCTTTCCGGGAAACTGGTTGTACCTATAGAATTCAAAAATAGTGGCAAAGAGGAGGGCCGGCTTCTGATTTCTGGATTTGGAAGATCTCGGTTCTATAAATAGGATAAGAGCAGTGTAAGAAGACAGGTACGTGATGGGCATGGGCTACAATGTACCAATGCATCCAACTAGTCCAAATTTTACTTCTGATGAGTTAGAGAAATTGCCTACATGGCATTTTTCAGGCAGACATAAATTTGGCCTGCTGGCACTTTGAGCTGACTGGAAGCTGCACGGTTCTAAGTAGTTTAGTGCTGAGTCTGAACTAGTAGGCCTGGCTGGCTGAAAAGGTGCAGAAACTTGGGCCTGGGCTTGAACTAACAAAGCTTCTAGCTGGTTCATAACACTGACAGACTAGATGTAGATTGGTTTGTAAAACAGCATGTAAATATAACAAAAAAGCACATGTTAAAAATAACACACAAGTTTTCATTCTGATGCATCAAAGGTGCAATTCATTACAGCATAATGTCAGTCATCTCCTAATTTCCATGTGGCTTACTCTTCAAAGAGATTCTTTCACTGTAAAATCAATCACAGCACAGACAGACTGCAATGACTGCTTAATGCATAAAGCCAGGGTACAGGATTTATATGGAAAATTAATTTTTGATTAACCACCGCAAGAGCCAACTTCCAAGGCCAAAATCAGGAAAATTCCTTTGCACAGGTTTCTAGCAAAATTACAAAGTTCTTTCTTTCTAAAATCAAGTGTAGTAACATGTCACCTCGGGGCAGCATCCACCTCTTTTGGCTTCCCTGCAGATTGAAGATATCACAGTGACCCAGTCCTCTGTTTCCTGCCTGTAGGTTGGAACAACAGAAATTAAAACCTACTCAGAGGTAAAACACATGGAAAACCCATTTGCCTACCAACTTCGTCCTATGGCTCCAAAATAACACTTCCTGAAATCAATGGGAAAAACATGCACCTTCCTTTCAAGAGAGAGTGCTCGAGTGGCCATTATCAGATGGCAAAGGTTGACCTCAGAGAGGTGCATCTGAGGACTGGAAGGTATGCAGGGGGGGGCCGTGTGTGTGTGTGTGTGTGTGTGTGTGTGTGTGTGTGTGTCTGTGAAAAAGACACGGAGAGGGAGTGAGACAGAGAGGTGGGACCATGCTTTCTTCTTCATTTTCCGTGTGTAATGCTGCTCTGCCCAGTCCTGCCATAAAGACAGCTAACAAGGCTTGGGAATGTGTTTGGGTGAGCAGGAGGAGAAACACGCCATGAAAGGATGCCTGAAGCCCTGCTTCATGCTTGTGGTGGATTTAGTTGGATAAATCTGGAATGCTTCCCAGCAAGTGTGGGCTGTGAAAGCAGTGCCCTGGGGGAAGGCGTGGGGTGGCATGCTCAAGTAACACACAGGTATGTGTTTTTCTTCAGTGCTTATCAGCATTTCACACATCAGCTGCTCTTCTGCATAAAGGCAGAAAACCCCCTGATATGCTTGTGGCTGGGAAACTGAAGAGGAGAAGCTGGGAAGCAGCAGCAGAGGAGCACTGTGCCAAATGTCCTCCCTCACTTAACCGATCTTTGGCCAATCACCTGAACAGCAGCAGTTTCTGCCCTTGCTGAGGACTGGATGGCAGCAGAGGAAAGCAGGGAGCACACCACCCTGCTGCAGTAAAGGCCCCAGTCATTTATTTTGGGATCTGTTTTCCCTTGGGGGAATTTTCCCCTTCAATCCGCTTCCCTTGATTAACAACCTACTTTCAAGGACAAGATTATTCTTGTGACTTATCCATAAGGAGCAGAAGCTTTCCTAACTCCCAGGAGCTGCTGAGTGAGAAGACAAAGTTCTCTGCTCTTCCTTGGCCCTTAACTGGTACAGTCTGACATGGCACTGACACAGTGATGTATTGCTGCTGCTGTCCCCTCTCCCAGCCGCATACTCCCACCACTTCCACATGTCGGACGTTATACCAGTGTGGCTACAGGGAAGGTTAGCTCACCTGTCAGAACCAGCAAAAATTAACCTGGCCATGAGGGAAAAAAACAACATAGAAAATAGCAGTTTTCCATTGGCTCAACCAGCTGAACTGTTTTGTCCAGGAGCTGCGCCATCAGGACCTGAGACACAGGAAGGGGTGGGAATGGCTATGAAGGAGGAGGATCTTGCCTTGGGGCAGTGGCTTGGTGTTACATCAGCTTAATTGTAATGTCATATTGCATTTGCACATCTTTCTATGCCTACCTACTGCTCCCAATGAGGTAGTAGCATCTGTTTCCAGTACTGATGGACATCACCTGTTCAGGAAGGCATTTAAACATTTTCCTCACCATTTCCATAATTTCAGAGTTGCTTATGCCAACTTCGATATTTATGATTCTGTTAAGACAACCATATGAAACATCCTATATAAGTATACATATATACATATAAACACACACATACATACATATGTGTATGTATGTGCATATTTTACTCAAAGCACAGCATAATACAATCAGATCTGCATGGGAAAAGGTAAACATTTTTTCCACAGAAAAAGTTCTCAAGCAAACAAGCACACACATTCAAAACAGATGGTCTTTCAAGGAAGAAAATTTCCAAACAAAAAAAAAAAATAAACATTTGCGAAGATTTATATCCATATTTTGGATCCTCATTTCCAAAAAAAGGGGCTGTTGGTCTAACACAGAATCTTGAAAAGAAATGATAGTAAGAAAAATTCCTGGCAGATGTTTCTGAACCACTATAGAACAATATATTTGATTTGAAACTAATTGTATATTAACAGTGTTTTAATGTAGGGAAAGAGGAACAGACAAGAAGTACTCTTAATGGATACTTAAATGGAAGCACTACTTCCATTAACTTCCAAGAAGTTAAATTAGTAAAAATAATAACAATAGTGATGGTAATGGTGTAACCACATATCACTGAGCAAGCTGGATTTTTTTTTTGAAAGCTTCACAATATAAATCCTTTTAATGGAAGAAGCACAACAGCAATGTGAGTCCAGTGACCTCCATGCCCAACAATTCCAGAAGCCTAGAGTATTAAGGTCCAGGTCTGACTGGTAAAATCTTTACATTTCCCTTTACATTTACTGTTTCTCTTCTATGTTTCTCATGCCACATGTGACATGGTAAAGGGTGCTAGCATAAAGCCAATGACATTTAACCTTGCTGCAGTGGGCACTGTACTGAGAGGAATGAAATGACCAACCCAAACGAGCCAAGCAGAGCAATTTCTTGGCAGAGTAAGAGTCCGTGGGGAAGCCAGCACCAGCCTAAAGGGCTACGTGTCAGCCAGGAGATCCCTGCACAACTTGCCAAGCACTTTGTAAAGCCAAAAGGTGGGAAAGGTTGTGTGCCACAGTTAAGAGCAGCATAGCCTTATTTGCGTGTGAGTGAATGCATAGCACTGTCTTCACAAGAGACAAAATATCTTCTACTACGGGAATGCAGCCTTTGGGGTCATGGAGCCAAGATGTCTGGTTTGCAGATACCACATCACCACAATCACTCACACAAATGTATCAAATTTCGTGAAAGCAATGTAGGATTTTTTCTTCGGCATATATCATACACTGTAAGTTGCACCCAAAGCCTACAAAAGCCCAAGGGACTCTTTTCTGAACTTCAGTGGGATTTGGATTAAGAACCTCAATCAGGAACAAGTGTCTGTACAATCAGTGGCCATTTAAGAGTGTTGATATATGACTTAAAATAAAAAGGTGATGCCTTTGAGCTACATACTGATCAACAGCTATGGATCCTTTTATGTTCTGGCCTTTTAGATACTTCAAGATGTAATTGCCCTTGCTGGTTTTGGACAGGATGAAAAAACGTCTTTTCCAGGAATTCTGTTGAAGAGAAAGTAATTTGTCTCTCATTAAAATTCAGGATAGCAGAAGTAAAAGATGCTTGTTGAGGGATTACTGGAATATGACTAACTTGTGCTAATATACCTGTGAGCCAAAAAGTTGAAGAGGTGGTGATTTGATGAGGAATCCATGCTTACAGACTGCATCTTCAGGGCAAAATGTATTTTGAGTTCTCACTAATCAAAGAGAAATTAACAGCACCATTACTTAATTTGTTGCCAATTCATCTCCTATAAATACCTGCTTGAACTGGAAATTGTTGTTGAGCACTGGGTTTCTGTGCTTAAATGGCCATAAACCACATTACAATTTGAGAAGAGAAACACAAAACAAGGCTAAAAAATATAGGGCCAGGTCATGCTTCCCTGATGTCAATGTTACTGCTGACAACTGGCCCAGACTGTAAATAAATGATCGTGACAATGCAGGGGGCTCCTAAAATATCATGAGCCTCTGTCTTATTTAACTGATCTTACTTAACTTTTGGAGTCTGGTCTTATTTAACTTCATATTTAGTGATGTGAAAGATGGTAACCAGCCCCCTAATGAAATCTGTAGATGGCATTCAATTTGGATAGATTGCAAACACAGCTAAAGACAGATCATCTTACACTGTGAATCACCGTGTAATGATGGGAAAAAGTCTTACAAGTAAAATACGAGCTAAAACCTTGGGGCGAAAAATTCCTGAATGTATTTGTTCATGACCCTGCATACTCTGTGGCTAGCTGTAGTTTGAGATTCACGTTTTCTAATCACTGTTGGATTTCTGATCAAAATCTCAGTTTTATTAATGCACTTTAACACCCAACGAAAGGAGTGGCAATCTCATTCAATTTTTTATCCTATAAAATGTGTATGGGAAATTAAGATTTTTTAAGAATCCAGTGACTGAAAGCACATTCAACCGCATTCTGGATCTTCCTGTAAGGGATATCAGGGAATACACATAAATTCTGTGAAACATAACATGACCAAACTTTGTGGTGATGGAAGAATCGCTTGGTTCTCAAATCCTATTTACTACTGATTTCAGTGGATGTAAGGTTTCATCATCAGTGCCTTGGATGTATCTTTCAGCTCCCAGTTAATTTTTAAGGATTTTAACATTTTTTACAACTGTCAGTTCAACTTCTGTGTCAGGGACAAGAAAAATTCTGAATTTAGGACAGATTCTTTAAGGAAGGAAGCAGAGGGGCAGATTTAACACACAGTATAAATCCAGATAAGATCTCCAAATTTTTCAGTATGCTATTTTCCCCTGTTTTTCACCTATTGTTTACCACAAAATCACTGGCAGGTGGAGGACAAAGAGAATGGCATCATATAATGATAAGAATGGACTGAAACCTGATTCAACCTTACTACTTACAAATCTTAGTAAATGAAATTTTGTACCTGCAGAATTTCTTTTACTTGGAGAAGCCATCCTGATTGTTTCTTCTACACAGATAGTAAAGAGAGCAAAAGCCTTGATGCTAAGTCCTTTTGCTTTGCTTGCTGCTGAGCAGCATTCCACTGTACACACAGTTGCCTGAGAAAGTAACAAAACTCACAAGTGTTTATTTTCGTAGTGATGATTAAACTATATAAAATAAATACAGAAACATCTATTAAAAAACTATAAAAATAATTATTACTCATGTAAGCATACTATTATACATCATACTTTATATTATAAAGTAAATGAGACATGCTATCATATTTATTCTATTCTAATATAATTATAAAATTAAAAATAATTAAATTTTTAGTTTTATAAGGGCCAAAGAGATGATTTGCCTAGGAAGTGGTGAGACCTGCCAACAGAACTTGATTTTGCCCCTTCCTTTGCGCTAGACACAACACCTGTAACCTAGAAATATTGCATCCCATATATGTTTCGAACACTGTCTTAGCAGTGTGATCAGCCCGGTATAAAATAGGCATAGTTTGGCCTAAAGAGTTTAAAGTTTATTTAGAAAATCTAGTCTAATACTATGGTAATTATAATAATTTGCACATCTGTGGTATTCTTAATACAATGCCCTTGGAGCAATTTATAAACAGTGACAAAATAAACTTCACAGCTTTTTAAGAGGTGGATTAGTATTATGACTTTTCAGAGGGGTAAACTGAGAGTATCTGTTTTGATTTATGTCAACTTATTTGTGCAATGTCTCCTCCAATGTTACCAGGAAAATGGGAATTTCACTGTAAACCTGAGAAGAAGTTCAATAACCTGATGATTGGCATAGCCAGGCTGTGGCAGCGATGGGAATAGAGGCTGGCAGGGAGGCAGAATGCATGTGTGCATTTTCATGGACTTCTCTGAAGTTTTGTTAAATAAGTCTTTTACAAAACACATGGGCAGTGACCTGTGGGATTTGATAAGTGCAGGAACAGAGGGATGGAGCATTTAGAAGATAAAAGGCGGGTTTGGTTAATGGGCTTCCATTGGGGTTTTTTTGAGCTAATTTGCCTCTCAGTGCTTTCCTTCGAATAAGAACAGCATTTGGGTGTCAGTATAACAGAGCCAGACCTCCAAAGCACTGCTATTTCTTTGCAATTCGTATGTGAGCTCTGCACTCCTCCCAGTTGATTGCATGCACGGCACTACGTTTTACACACTGGACAGTTTTTTATTATCTCACAATTCCTTTCTTGTTTATTTAAAATCAGAGCTACTTTCTTTAAGATACTTACATTTCCCATTTGTAATACCATGTCTGTTTGTAACATCATTTTGTAAACTTTTCAAAAGATTCCCTTTGCCTTACCCCAAAGCTCTCTTTCCTTGTAAAATCAAATCCTTTCCTTTTAGTAACTTGGCTTGTCTGTTAGCTACAAGATTGCAGAGTCTCCAACATGTGTGCCATCTGAAAGCTGCAGAGCCTATTCTGAGAAAATCTGAAGGATTGAAAATGCAATCTAGTTCTTTGATGAGCTCCCTGGCTGGACTGAGAGACCTAAGGGGTTTCCTTTGCTTCTGTTTCTTCAGTGATTTACTCCCTGGTGTCAGAAGTAAACATGGTACAGTCAGGAGTGGTGGCCAGAAACTGTTGGTTATTTTCTGGTCTCACTCACCTAACGTGAGGTGGGTTACATACAAAATTTTACCTCTGACACACAACCAAAGCTATACACTTCCAAACTTCCTGTTGCAGGCAATATCATGCTGTAAATGAGAATGACCCACTGCAAACTTAAGTCCACTGGAGATCTCTGCAGAGCATTTCTGCCTGTATTTTTCTGTGATTTTTTTTTTTTTTGGAAGAAAGATTTGTTGTACAAATGCTGTGACAGTGCTATAAAATTTACTGCTAAGGATTGCATCTATTGCCTACCAAAAGAAAGGACAAAAAAAGCATTTTCTGAAACTAAAAATGGCTGCACACAAAGTCAAATTGTTAATGTCAATAGTAGGGTCACACGCCTGGGGTTGGAATGAAAGACAATGTAATATTCTTTTCAATGTGACTGACAGAGTCACCGCAACTGGCAAACAATGCAATTTTTGCAAAACTATGTTCCAAGAGCCCGTGACAGGATAAAAGTGTCTTCTAGGTTTCAGTAAAAGTCAAGATTTTCAGGTGGGAAGACAAAACCCCTTGTGATTAAAGTTGTGCTATCTCACTCTGCATTTTGGGAAAAAGTTTTTAATTGTTGTGTTTAATTGTCTTTTCTCTTCAATGGAAAGCAACATTTTAAACAGGTTATTATAATTCAGAATAGACAATGCCAATTCCATGGTTATACCCCCTCAGATTTTTGTATGCCTGGCATTAAGAGATTTGATTGCTTTCAACCTTTTGAAATGCAATGAGGCACTTCTGTGAAAAGGCTATTATAAAACTTCACAAACACAACACCAAGATAAGGAAAACAAACTGTGTTACTACTTACATGCAAGATGTCTTTATGGTGCAGAGGGTTTTAGAGATAATACATCTTTAAGTATTTCCAGATTCCCTGTGTTGCCTCCTGCAGCAAAACACGACATGTCCTTGCCCTGCACTGTGACTGCCTTCTTATAGTCTGTGTATAAATACAAACACCCTGAAATATGACCCACAAGGAAATTCCTGTTTCTGCCATGGGAAGCAAATTAAAGATTGTTCTGAAAGGGGAAATCCAGAAGATTAATAGTTACTTACAAGCAATGAAAAATTATGCACATTTGAGGCAGCTGTAAACGTCTCCCATGCAGAAAAAAGCCTGGAGACAGCTTTTGTTGGTTCAGCTTTCTAAACAGTCCATTTCCCCTGAGCTGTGTTTAAAATACAGTATCTACCCATGACCAGAAGATAAAACAACATTAAGAACCCTAAAAGATCATAAAGTACCATAAAATGTAACCAAGTTCAGATTTAAAGCATAGCATTTACTAAAACATACAATGGTGAAGCTGGATTTTTTATGCTACCTATGTAACGACAACGTATTTTCATTGTAGGATCAGGGTCTGTCTTGGTTATAGGTGATTTTTTTGGATTGTCTCCAGAAACATCCAGCATATCATTAATGATAATGATTTTACACACTAAACCATTTTGCTAGTACTCCAGATGGCAAGGGAATTGCTTATATACAGAAAACAGTTACAAATTTGACCAGGAAATAAGTTAAAATGTCCTATAGCTTACAAATTACTATTCAGCTACCGCCTTGCTCAAGTGAAAAGGTCAGGCTTCCTTATTCTGAATGGGTTCCTTCAGGTTCTTGGGCTGGCACAGCCCTCAGCATGTAAGTATCACCAGTCAGACATGGTGTCTGTTGGTGGGAAATTTTCTTCTTGAATTATATTTATGTTTTTTGGGCATGATCTAAAGTAATGCTCCAACTAGCAGAGACACTGGTCCCGACACAAGGGAATCTTTTTCTCTTTCTTCCACTGCTACGTTATCTTTCCCAGTTGTTTTCCTCTCTGGCAGTGTCTTCAGGTATTTTATGCTGATCTTTGTATATTTTATATACTAGAACTAGCCCAAAGGTTGTTTAAGATTCATCCTCAACTTCTTCCTTTCATTGTAAGTCAGCAGGCAGAATTGCTGTGCTCCTTTGTGCTATACTATCATCCTGTTCCAGGAAACCTTTGGTCTACCAGGAGACCTCTTGCAAATGTTGAGAGTGACTTGTTGGCTGGCCACATTAGAGCACTGAAGAGCTTCAAATAGCAGTACTACTTTGCTTTTTTTCTTAGACAGACAACTACCATTTCACCTATCAGTTGGAAATTCCCAAGCTGTCCTTACTTAGTGACTTAGTGTTCATCCTGGTAAATGTACATCAAAATCTGATAAAGACCTGCTCTGCCCACCTTTTTTTTTTTTTTTTTTTTCCTTCCTTTTAGATGTTATCTCCAATAGGGCAAATAGCTTTTCCTACTTAGAGACTCACTAATAGTCACTCCTCTGATTCTTTCTCAGCGCTCCCTTGTAGGCTGGACCAGGGACTGTTTCTAGTAATTTTTATATGTCATAATGCTATAAGTTAAGATAAATTTGCTATAGCTTTTTTTAAAATAAAATATCATTGTCAAAGAACCTTTAAGAAAAAAGCACTACATAAGAGGAAATGTACTCCTTACCTGTTATGTTGTTACATTCCTTGGCAATATTTTAAAAACTTAAATGACCTGTTTCACAGCCCCTACTTGCTTCTTTATTGTTCCCAAGGCTCTCTGGCTTCAGAGTTACAATGCATCTGAATAAAAGGATAGTTTTGGAAACAGGGGAATAATGTTAACAAAAATTTTAAAACAGGCTAAACCTTAAGCAAATAAACACTAATGAGTGATAAAGACATGAAAAAGCTTCCACAGAAGTAACGAATACTGAAATGTTGACTGGATGCATTTCTCATGGTAAAACAGGAACATCTCTAATGCCAGAAAATACTCTCAGATGGAGCTATCTGACAGAAGTAATAGGAAGAACATTTTCATACGAACAGCTAGACCAGCGTACAGTTTACTTTATAGACATGTTATACACAGGACAAGATTAAGTGCTGGTAGATCGGGGTATTTCCATTAAAATATTTTCAATAATTTTGGTTTACTCAAAGAGATGATGTGGCCTGCCTAACCCAAGTCACCCACTGCCAGCTTACTTTTCTAAACTACTTTTCAACTGACACTGTAAACTTCATCTTGAAAAGATGCCGAAGATCTGCATTCTTGACTGAGAAAGGTTTTGGGATGTATTCTGGTTGGTTTTCACTGCACCAGATTGAGTGACAAACATGCAGATATTCATAGGAAATTTTAAAAAAAGGTCTTTATTGATTTCATGCTCAAGACGTCCATAAAACAATCATTTATTTAATTCAAACAACTGTAAATTTGATTTATGAAAATATAATAAAATATATTCCTCATTATGACACAGTATTTGTAAGAAAATAATACGGTAACTTGGCTTTAATAATATGCACTTATTTTCTTAGTAGATTTCAAAAGAGTATAGAATACATTAACTGGGCAAAGGGTGAACACTAATCATTTGTCAATGTAACCAAATCAGTAAACTTACTTTTTTCAGCTAGCTACCAATTTTAAAGAGAGTATACAAAGTAGGAATATAAACATCACTGACGTAACTCCAAAATACAAAATCAAGACTGTACAGTATCTAAAAAGGCAATTCTGGTTTCTGATTAAAGTAAGTATTTCCAGTCTTGGCAAAACTCCTCACAAATAGAAGCTATATCTAAACATATATTTTTTACTGGAAGATACAATTCTATCATTTTAACATTAAATTTTAATGTTTTATAACAAAGCCTTGGCATTAACTTTCTGTTGGTTCAAAACTTGTGGATAGAAAAGCAGACAGTGTTATTTCTGCAAGCAGAAAAACTGCAATACCACTGTTTCAGGCTGTTCTATAAGTTAATTGTAATTTGCAAGGCAAAAATCTTTACAATGGTGCTTCAATAAGGCATCATCCAATTACAGTTTGCCAATCTTTCACAAAGAGTTTCATTCTGATTTTTCTATTTGTTACATTTCCATACTATTCAGATAAATCATCTACAAATGCTGATTTTTTATTTATCCATCCTATGCTAGAGTGATAACTAAGTAAATTGACTTCCAGATTAAGTACAAAGCAACCATTAGTCTTCATCAATAACATTCATAAAAAGGAAATGAATATATTAGACTAAGAAACACCCTTTTAAATAGCTACAAACTGTTTCATCACTGGACATACCCATAATATGATGGTCTTTGGAAATATCCGAGGAAGTTATGGTTCCATGAGCTAGCAGTGAAAGAACAGATGGAGTCTCACGATTTAATTTTTTTGCTCTTAATTTACAATCTGTTTTCTGGAATAAACCCTTATGGGTCAGGTAGCTGACTCTCAGAACATCTTCAGTAGCCATAAATCATGACAGCCACACTAAGGGAAATCAAGATGCAGTAATTAGTATTAGCTGTCAGGCTGGCACACAGCATTTATTTTAACTTTAAAATCTTGCTTGTTGTCTATTCATCAGATACTCCAGCTTATACAATATAAAAATTTATTGTAATTACATTTCTGTTATTAAGAATGTGTTACTCCATTTTATAATCAAATCTCCACCCAAAGCTGTATCCTGATCTTTCGTCACTGGTTGTATTAAAATATACTTTCAGAAGTAAAGTTCCTTAGTGAGCATAGAGACCACGCAGGGAATTTGCTTCTTCTCACTGAAGCGTGGATCATCTGACTGTGATTCAAAATTTGTGGCAACCACATAGTTGACCCGTGTGAGGATCTGCATGATCTCAAGTTGTTTACCATGCTCATTTAGCACAGAGCACAGAGACTGCACAAACCAGGAGCCTCTTCCAGGATTCCTCCAGGAGTAATAACCTTACAGGAAAGACAGATAAGAAAGTACATGGGGTTACTTTTCCTCTTTTTTCTTATTATCTTGTGCTGAAGAATGGAATGGCAGAGATAAGTACCAATTTGTGTGAAAGGTTTTGGGCAAAAAGTAACAATGCACACACAGAAAGTTTAATTCTTAGCACTTGTATCACATATCCTATTTCACTGAAGTGTAAAATAACGTGTAGTAACTCTCCAAACCTCACACAACTAAAGTACCATTCTGTATTTTTGCATTTGGGGAACTACAAGAAGTAAGACTTCACGTTTTTCATCTACAATAATAAGTTTTGTGCCATAACTGCTCCTTTTCCTGCCTTCATCACACAGGATTCCCAGAAAATAGTTCTGTCTTTGCCACCTGTAACATCTGTGTCTTCTCACCTGCCAAATCTGGGCTTTCTCCTGTTTCCACTATAGCTAGTGTAAAAGGGGTGGGTACAACACACTGGCCCAACATACACTGGGCCTTAGTGTTTTGTCCATCAATGTACACTGTATCATCAATGAGGGTCAGTCTACGATCAAGTCAATATGGGTGGTAAGTTTTTAGGCTTCTATCCCCACACTGACCCCCTTTTCTTTACCTGGCACCGTGGAATATGCAAACAGGAAGTCTGCTTCTACTGGGATTTTGTATCTTGGATTGGCATCTGTTTCCAGAGTGTCATTTGCGGGTCCAGAGTCAGTTTGTATACCTTCATCAAATTCAGAGCCTCTGCATGCCTGAAAGCAGTGAAGACAAAGAGAACTTGTCCAATAAGGAGAAAGAAGGTGTTATAAAAATAAATACTCATTAACATTTTCTAATAGATAGTTTTAAGCAGTACTTTGCATGTATTAAAAGAAGAAAAGCAATTCTGGGAGACATCTAATTGTTCAGTGATAAAATTACTAGCTTACCCATTTAAAATTGTTCAGTGATAAAATTACTAGCTTACCCATTTAAAACATCCTGTACAGTAAAGTAAGGTAATGGTGTTGCAGGGTGCGGACCTCAGTGGATTGTCAAAGTGCCAAGTTAGCAGTAGCTTATTCTAATCATGATTAATTTTGCTAGTCTGGAGTCATCCTCAGCATGCAATTATTACATAATGTCTTGTGCAGCATGACGTCTGGACATTTTCTTATAGTGGACTACACATTGGTTTTGGTCCTGACACACACTGCTGTAGCACTACATTTCACAGAATAACAAAATCACATCCCGGGATCATCTAGTCTAATCCGGCTTCTCAAGCAGGGACAGCTACAGCAAATATCCAGGACTGTGTCCAGTTGGGTTTAGAATATCTCTACAGATGAGAGAATCTACAATCTGGGCAACCTGTTCCAGTGTTTTACCACCCACTTCAAGTATATTGAATTTTGAACATTTTTCCATTTCTCTTTTATTCTTAATTTCCTCTTAATCATGCGGTTTGGCTAAAGGGCACACTGGGACCACACACTAGGCTGCTAAGCTTCACCTCTTGATCAGTAGCTTTGACTGACAGCTCTTGCAAAAAAATAGCAGTCTGGTGGGCTTAAATAATACAAGTTGCCTGCCTTTATTAGGATAATTTTAAAGGCAACAAAGTACCCATTCCAAACTTATAATAAACATAACTTTAGTAGTATGAAGAGGCCGAAATAGACACAGTTTTTACTTTGAGGTGGAGGATTAACAGATGGAACAACCTAGGGAAAACCACATCTGCTGCAACTCCCATACCTACATAATACTATGATAAAAAGAGAATTTGGACCCATGGTATGTCAGTTAATACTGTTTGAAGCAGCTGTCTTTAAAAGCTTAAGTAATATACAATTAATTACATGCTAATACAATAATGCAATATACATTTTTAGGCTACTGAGGGACAGAAAAAATACTTGTTTTAGTAGAATGCTGTGATTTGTAGAGACAGTCTTTCTTCAAAGAGACCTGGACAGTATTATTTCTATTGATAATCATGTACTGTCCTCAGCTCTGTCTGCACAAGAGGGAGTTTATCTTTCTGCTTTGAAGTTTGTATATTACCAAGCACAAAGAGAAACTATGTACAAAATTACAGTTACATTATATTCTTTACATCTGTCAATCTTCTACATAAATTATCTTTTAACAAACAAGTCACCCCCAGTCAACTACTCTCAACACATTTTTTCACAAAACCTCCAGCAAAATTCAGTAAGTTAGCCTACAGGGCTCTTCTACAGCAGACAACCAACATAGCATGTTTCCCCACTGCAGCAGTAGGATACTATATTTACCTTAGGGCTATTACCTGAATGAAAAATAATTTGGGTTTGCCTATAAGGCTTTTACACTTGTCTCCTCTGAATAGCGCAGTCAAACTTTTGATAGCCATGGGTCCATCAGTTCCATAGATGAGGCCTTCTTCCCCATGGCTTAGAAGAATACAGGCAAAACAAGCAGCATCACTGTGATTCTCCTCAGCAGCTACAAATCAAATACTTCTTAGTCAAAAGGAAGCAACATTTTAAATGAAAATTATATTTACCAAACACATTTTTCTGAGAGTAAATATACATTGGGCCTCTACTGGGAGGCATAAGGAGGAGTGGATAAAGATGACCCAACTCACTTTTTAGTAATGTAATGAGCATGTTGAATACCTGAATGCACCCTTCACTTGACTCCAAATCTAGCCCACTGGAGTCAAAAGGCTGGACTCTTTATCTAATATGACACAGCTCTTCACCTAATACACAGGACAAGTGCTTCCCCTAATATGGCAACAAAACTGTATTTCTGAACTGACATTGGAGGAAGAGGTGGGGAATTAAGCCTCAT